ACCTAAAAGAGTCCCAAGTGAAATCCCAAATCTGAAAGCTTCCCGGTTTTCCCCACCCAGTTGAAAGTTCAAGATCTTTCCCACACACCCACAAGTCCATCACATGGTCCAATCTCCCACTGCCACGCTGGCAATTTCCACCCATCCAGTTCCGGTCAGGTGCAGAGACAAAGGATGACCTTGGATTTCTAGAAAGGATTTTGATATGGCTACATAGCATCTCACTCCTACAATTCCCCCCTCCCATTTTCCCACGACAGAAAAGGCGTAGTAGAATAATAGAAAGTGTGGCAGGCCTGAAGTCCAAAAAGGGAAAGGTGGGTGCAGGCTTGGCACAAACCATCTCCTGAATCTCCCATGTGGAGAGTATTCTCTTGAGGAGCCAGAAGAAAACGCCACTCCTGAAGGATCTGAAGGACACTTTCAGTGCGAAGGTTTGTCGTTGGCATCCCCTAAATCAGCCCATGGGTTGATCCGGAGACCAGCAAGCGCTCGAACCAGGAGGAAGGGGGAGGGGACTAGAGGTCGTCCTTGACTTACAACCCTTTGCTTGATGATGATGTTTGTCCATCGTGTCTGAAGAGGACCTTGGCATCTAACAGGTGGTGGGCTGTCCACGATGGGTCTGCAGGTGGCTGGTAAGGCCTCTACGGGCACAAAATGTTCCTCCACGTGTTGGGCAGACATGTGTGGGCACCACGGTTGCAGCGTTTGCAGCCGTGGCTTTGCGGAGTGCTGGCTTCTCCCGTGCTACGGTTGCCCTGCTGTCCTCAGATGCCTGGCAGCCTTGGTGGATCAGCGTGCGCCATGTGGATCTCATGCCAGGGTTTCCCAGGAGGTGGTGTTGATTTCCAGGGACTTGAAGGAGGCTTCCAACATGTCTTTGCACTGCTTCCTTTGTCCCCCCGTGCGATCGCTTTCCATGAGACAACTCACCATAGAGGAGCCGTCTGGGGATGCGATGGTCTGGCATCCTTGCAACATGGCCTCCTGCCCAGCGTGCCTGGGCTTCCCTCAGCAGGGCGTGAACGGATGGCAGGCCTGCCCTGGGGAGGACCTCGGTGCCTGGCACCTTGTCCTGCCACTGGATCCTCAGAATTCCCCGGAGGAAGGCCGTGTGGGAGGGGTTCCTGTATACAGTCCCAAGTCTCACTGGGATCGATCCGGGCACTTGGCGCCACTGCTTGCTACACTCCTGACCGTTTCAAGTGACAACGGACCATAAAAACGGAGGATCAATGGCTTCATTTAATGACTGTTTGGTTTGCCTTACGGCCGCTGCAAAAATGGATGAAATCAGGCCCAGTTACATGGTGACACACTTTACGATTGTCAAGGCTTACAATTCAAATTGTGGCCCCACAATTAGAGTCATAAGTCAAGGACTTCCTGTTTGCTTAAAACTGGGCCTTCCCCAGGAAGGGCTGTGGTTGTTCAATAGTTATTGTATTTTTATTGATGGTGGCTGCCTGCATTCCAATCTATTTGGAGAGGATCTTTTATCCTTGAAGGCCAGGATGGAAATACTTGCAATAAATCATGATCAAAGGAGGGACAGATGAGGGTAAAATTAAAGACTCCTTTGAGGTTAGCTCAACTCCTAATCCTTTCCTGGTCAGGCCAAACAACTTGTTCTGGCCAACGTTGCAATATTTTATTTTTCTACAATCTAAATATATAAAACTCTTGTGTGCATAACTCTGGAACTGGAAATTGCCTCAAGCAATTTCAACCAAACTCGGTACACAGATCACTTACTCTCTGGAGACAAATACTGTGGGGGTAAGACACCCCTAACACCCCCTCTCGGGGTGTGTGTTCTGTTAAGATACAGCCTGTTGTGCCTTAAAATGGCTTCCACCATACTGCCGCAAAATGGCTTCTACTGTACAGCG